GAGCTTGAGGTGCTGCTGCTGGAGGCGCTGGAGATGGAGGTTCTGGAGCTGCTGGAGGCGCTGGAGCTGGAGGTGCTGCTGCTGGAGTCATTGGAGGTTGAGATGCTGCTGCTGGAGGCGCTGGAGCTGGAGTTTCTGGAGTTGCTGGAGGCGTTGGAGCTGGAGGTGCTGCTGCTAGAGTCACTAGAGCTGGAGGAGCTGCTGCTGGAGGCGCTGGAGCTGGAGGTTCTGGAGCTGCTGGAGGCGCTGGAGCTGGAGGTGCTACTGCTGGAGTCACTGGAGCTGGAGGTGCTGCTGCTAGAGGCCCTGGGGCTGGAGGTTCTGGAGCTGCTGGAGGCGCTGGAGCTGCTGGTAATGGTGGCACTGCACCTCCGCGACTGTTATTAGCTCCGCCGTCACCGTCGTCTTTGCCACCGCCTGACTCCGTGCTTCGCCATGTTCTTAGCCTCCCGTCTTCTACTGGCCTCCCGTTACAGCACGGCGCACCACTGCCTGCTCCTTCTCCTTACACTCAGCAGACAGGCTCGCTTACAGATCGTCGTGAGCCTGCGTCTTGTCCTACCTCGCCTGTTCGCGCGCGTCGCACTGGTTGTCGTGTTCCTCGTGAGCGTCCGCCTCCTGTCCCTGGCATGCACGCTATGACACTTCGTCCTTCCTCTGTTCCACAGCGTATTCTCCTACCGTCTCCTCCTGCGTCTTCTCTGCCTGACGTTTAGGACCCTGAGTCTGACGTGGTTCGGGCTGCTCACCCTACTGTCACGCGTCTGCTAGCCACTTTTGTCACTGACCCGTCGTTTGAGTCTACTGCTACGTATGCCTTAGTCTCTGAGCTTGTTGACTTTGCTGCTGCCTGTCGTCTCGACTTCGCTGCTAGTCTTGTTGCTGAGTCCGAGTCTGTCTGTCGTCCGTCCGTCGGGGGTGAGTGTGCTCTTGGCACGAACGTCCTTGGCACGGCCTCATCTCGTGGCCATGCTGCTTGCCCCTGAGGGAGACCCGGATGCTCCAGACATCCCGACCCCGCGCTCTTACGCCGAGGCGATCGCGGGTGAGTACTCCTCTCAGTGGCAGACAGCCATGGACGCAGAGATGGCATCGTGGAAGTCCACAGGCACTTACGTCGATGAGGTTCCCCCTCCTGGGGCGAACGTAGTCGATGGCATGTGGATTTTCAGGGTGAAGCGGCCGCCAGGTTCTCCGCCTGTCTTCAAGGCTCGTTACGTTGCTAGAGGCTTCAGTCAGCGACAGGGAGTTGACTTCTTCCAGACCTTCTCCCCCACCCTGAAGATGACCACTCTTCGGGTTCTGCTGCACGTTGCCGCTCAGCGTGACTACGAGCTTCACTCCCTGGACTTTAGCACATCGTTCTTACAGGGCAGTCTGCACGAGGAGATCTGGTTGCACCGCCCACCTGGCTTCACTGGGTCGTTCCCTCCTGGTACCCAGTGGAGCCTCCGCCGGCCAGGCTACGGTCCCCGTCAGGCGCCTCATGAGTGGCACGACACACTGAGGACGACACTTGCGGCTCTTGGGTTTGCACCTTCCACTGCTGACCCGTCGCTGTTTCTGCGCACAGACACTTCGTTGTCTCCGTTCTACATCCTCGTGTACGTCGACGACGTGGTCTTTGCCACTGCTGACACTGAGGCTCTCGCTCTTGTGAAGTCGGAGCTGTAGAAGAGACACACGTGCACAGACCTGGGTGCGCTGCGCAGCTACCTTGGCTTGCAGATCACCCGGGACAGAGCACGGCGCACCATCACACTAACTTAGTCACACATGGTGCAGCAGGTCCTTCACCGCTTCGGCTTCACTTGGTCCTCGCCACAGTCCACTCCCTTGGCTACAAGTCACTCGCTCTCAGGTCCACCTTCAGACGAGTCCGTAGAGCCGAGTGGTCCGTACCCAGAGCTAGTGGGCTGCCTCATGTACCTGATGACTTGCACTCGTCCTGACCTTGCGTACCCTCTTGGCCTTCTAGCGCGCTACGTGGCTCCTGGTAGGCACCGAAAGGTGCACTTCGATGCTGCGAAGAGGGTACTGCGCTACTTGTGCAGTACATCGGACACGGGGCTCGTGCTTGGAGGGCGGAGTCTAGTTGTCCTCACTGGGCACTCAGACGCTTGTCGGGTTGACGACCTGGCTACGCAGCGGTCGTCACAGGGTTACACCTTCAGCCTTGGCTCTGGCTCTGTTTCTTGGCAGTCTACACGCTCGTCTTCTGTTCTCAGCTCCAGTTGTGAGGCTGAGATATACGCCACAGCCATGGCTGCACAAGACTTACGCTGGCTCACCTACCTGCTAACTGACTTGGGTGAGAGGCCTCGTTCTCCTCCAGTTCTGTACGTCGACAACAAGGCTGCCATTGCGTTGTGTCAGGACCACATACTGGAGCACAGAACGAAGCACATCGCTCTGCGTTACTTCCTTGCTCGAGAGTTGCAGCAACGTGGTCAGCTTCGTGTCGCTCATGTGCCCACCCGAGCGAACACATGTGTTCACCAAGGCCCTTCCGGCTGGTGATCATCAGCGCTTCTGCACTGCTCTAGGCCTGGTGCCTACGTTTCCTCAGTTGTTGTAGACTTTGGTTGTACTGTGATCTTTTAAAATATACCAGCATGTTTACTCTTGCTAGGTAGTGATCACTGTACTGTTGTTGTTGCATATATACCTCTGCATGTGAACTGGCCTTGTGGTCATTTGCTTGTGCTCGGAGTGTGTGGTGACGTTGTGATCCACCCTGAGCTAGCTTTCCTTTTCATGACTGGTCCTGTGACCCCTTGTTCTCTCCCACTTTGCCTATGGGGGTGTGTCAAACTATATCTGTGCTAGTTCTATATCGGCTATAGTGGGGTAGCCCATATGGGGTACAACCCAATGTTAGGGTTAGTACTTGTACCCACAACTCATTCAATGCAGTCATTCCTGCTTGCTATCTTGATAGATCCTTCCACCCATTCTCATGTCCTTCGCTGCCCTAGCAACAACGAGCCTACTAAGGTGCACGACGCAATCAAACGAGAAGTGCATTGCATTGCCTTGGAGCTTGGGTTCTCTGCGCAAATGGAAGACCAACATCTCCTGCCCAGCCACCGCACAGACATTACGTTCCGCGACATCAGCTCTGGTACCACCTGGGCCTTGGATGTCTCTGTTGCTAATCCTCAAAAGGGTTTTCCGCACTCTAACGCAGCTACAGTGATTCGTTCAGCAGCAGCCACTCGTGAAAGTGAGAAGACCACCTACTATGCTGCAACACTTCGTGACCGTCGAGACGTCAAACTGTTTCCCCTTGTCATCGAAACCTTCGGTTGCTTCGGCTCTTTGTTCAACAAGTTTCTTCGCCAATGCAGCCGCAAAGGGGCTTCACAACTTCGCGACTTGAGTGGTGCCACAGATTCTCTTCCCCAGCTGTTTGAGACCAACTTCTACAAACGGATTTCTCTGGTCCGCCAATGTGAGCAGGCTCGCACAGTTTGTCGTCGCGCACAAATTCGTTTTGCCGAGGGCGTCAACTACGCACCACCTAAGGTGACTTCTCTTTCAGCAGCTGACTTTTCCTACTTAGGAGAGGACCATTGAGACATGACAGAGGCCTATTTGTAGGCCTAACAATAGGATTAACCTGCATGTCTTTCCATAGACTAGGGTCTTTGGATTTGCCTTGTATCCGTTGCACATTTAGGGCGTGTTCCTACGGCCCCTTATCAGGCAACCTTTTGTCAGACTTGTGCGGTTCAATGCGTTTTAGTACGATCGAATGTTATTGTGTGTGTTTCAGTGTGGTGCGACGCGAATCTGACAAGAGGTTCGCAAGAGGCCGTAGGAACACGCCCTTACTATGGGCTGAACGACTGAACAGCCTTGACTGCTGAACGGCGCCTGCTGTTTTCGCAGATAATGGAAACCCTTCGCTGCTGCTCGTCAGCCCAAGCTGCTTCGCCAAGCGGGAGTGCCGGGCCACTTTTCCCGCCACAAAATCTGGTATTTTGGTTGTGTTTGTGTTGAGCTTTCGTTGGGTTGGCTCCGACGACCGAATTGCGCTGGGATGTTCGGTCGGGTTCACCCCGTCCCGTGGGAATGATGTGTTGGTATAGTTTGTCAATCTGAAACCGCGGAGATAACAGACGCGTTTGCTTAGATTTCACAGTGGCCACTGTGTCCGGGCAGCCATGGAATCAGCGCAGCGGGGTAACCGTTCGCGCCGTTCGATCGCATGTGCTATTGTCATAGGCGTCACCGTCTGCTCGGTTGGTTTCGCGCTTTTTCTCTTTGTCAGTCATTGCTCGCCACATGTCACGTTATCGCACAGCTGCTCAGCTCCAGGTAGCACCTTATCCAGATTCCATGTCGAATTCTCGAGGCATTTCGCTAATATTCTCGAAACAGGTCGCAATTTCGTTGACCGCATACGTTCTCTAGGCAGATCGGAGGGCGATGCCCTCGCTACGGAGCCGCAGCAGACTGAAGAGGGAGAGACCTCGCGGCCTATCGTGCAGGCCGAACGCGCAGAGGATGGCGTAGCAGGAGATCGTGAAATTCCTGATAAAGAGATCCTCGGAGGGTCTCGAGAATGTCGAGGGAAACAGTCAAGGAATGACGGCCGAGAATTAGGGGCAAGAGGCCAAGAATCAGGGATCGGCTCAAGAATCGGGCAAGGGACGTGCAAGGGATCGCGTGGGGACGAGGAGTGGCTTGCGGCATGGGCGGCAGACTCGCGGGATGTGAACGCGAGCATTGCGGCTCACCTGGGGACCGCCACCAGGTGAATCTTCAGGTGAATGCTCAGGTGAATGATTGTGGGGGGTGCGTTATGGTGCACGAGCATTATGGTAAATCAGATTGTGTGACGGTGCGTGGGTGGTGCATGGATGGTGCATCGGTGGTGCAGAGTGGTGGATGAATGGTGCATGCTTGATGGTGCATGCATGTAGAGGCTGGAAGGGGAACCTGGAACCAATAGTCCTTCTGAGAATCACCGAATAGACTCGGAACTGGAAGGAATGGTCCGTAGAGGTACTCCTGAAGGGCTACAGGTGCGGGGTTTTGAGACGTCTCAAAATCCAACTGTTATCAGGTGCGGGGTATTTTTTAGAATTCTCAAGAATGCCTTGCAGGTCATTTAGAAGGGTTACAGGTGCAGCAAAATGCTACTGTCAGCCGTCAAACCCCAAACCCCAACCCCGAGGTCCCTGAAGCCTTCTATCCCAAACCTCATCCCAACGCACATGCCACTGGTAATCGTTACCCTCTGCCATCCCTCTTGTAATCAGGTACGAGCACTTGCGTATAGTAGTAACAAGCGGGTCGCAACACTCTAAAGCCACACGTGTTCTCCCATTGCCCCCTATAGCATGCTGCACCACCTACCTCTGCCGCAACCCGTCCTATTCACCCACCACGCGTTTCTCTCCGCCTCCTCCCCGCCCTCCCCCGCCCTCCTCTCATAATCCCATTCCTCCCTTCATTCCTCTGCCCCTTGACCCCCCTGCCCCCTGCCGCCAGGTGACTCGCTAGCAGCAGCGGGCGGCCCACAGTACCTGGAGCACCTCAACCTGCCGCCCTTGATTTCTTCCCTTGAATCTCCCCTTGATTTCTTCCCCTCCCCCTCCCCCACACTTTATCCCCAGGTACGAGGACTCGCTAGCAGCAGCAGGCAGCCCACAGTACCTGGAGCGCCTCAACCTGCCGCCCTCCTCATGAATCCCCCCTTGATTTCCTCCCCTCCCCCTTCCCCCACGCTTAATCTCCAGGTACGAGGACTCACTAGCAGCAGCGGGCGGCCCACAGTATCTCAATCGCCTCAACCCGCCCATCTACCTCCTTCTCCTTGTGCGCCCTCCCTGCCCTCCCGCTCCCTGGCCCCTCTGCTGGCCCCCTTGTCCCTTATCCCCAGGTACGAGGACTCGCTAGCAGCAGCGGGCGGCCCGCAGTATCTGGAGCACCTCAACCTGCCGCCCTCCTGCACGCCCATCTACCTCTTCCTCCTCGTGCGCCCTCCCTGCCCTGCCCTGCCCCGCCTTTCCGTGCACTCTTTCACCTTTCTTGAGTGTATCCGTGTGTTATTCTACGCACATCAGCGTGCATGCCACCTGCTCCCCGTGCCCATCTGCACTACGTTTGAGTCGACTCAAAAGCAGAACCTGCCTTTCCGTGCTCTCTTTTCACGTTTCTTGTGTGTATCCGTCGTTGATTCCATGCTGCACATCAGTGTGCCTGCCACCTGCTCCCTGTGCCCTTCTGCGCTGCCTCCCCTTTGTGCGACGCTTCCCTTTCCCATTCGTCCACTCCCCCGTGCCTCCCATCCCATCTCCGCACATCCAGGCCAGGCATGGAGCAGGGGAGCCAAGCCAGCCAAGCGTCGCATCCACCAGCTGAACGAGCTCGCACCCAAGCTCAGACGCTCCTTGCATTTCCCTCTGCTGCCCTGCTCCCCCGTCCATCCAGGCCAGGCACGGAGCAAGGGAGCCAACCAAGCGTCGCATCCACCAGCTGAGCTGAGCGAGCTCGCCCCCACAATCAGACGTGCATTTGCTGCCTCTGTATCTCCCGCTGCCGCCGTGCTCCTCATGTTCCCGTCCCCTCTTTCCAGGCCAGGCACGGAGCCAGGGAGCCAACCAAGCGTCGCGTGCACCAGTTGAACGAGCTTGCGCCCAAGCTCAGACGCACCTTTGCTGCTGCCAGCATTGCTGCCTCTAGAAAATCTGCTACTGCCACTGCACCTGTCCCTCCAGATTCCTCTACCTCTGCAGCCACATCTGCAGCAGCTGGGTCGTCTTGGAGCCTCCGCCTCACACAGTGGATGAGAGGGTACCGGTCGCCATGGGAGGGCATGCAGGGGGGAGGCGAGCTGCTGACTGAGGGCGAGGAGGAGCTGTATCGCATGGGCGGGCGGTTCAGGAGGCGCTTTCCCTCACTGCTTGGGGGCGTGTATCACAGCAAGGCGGTGAAACTGTTCTCCACGCAGGTGTGTGTGTGTGTGTGTGTGTGTGTGTGTGTGTGTGTGTGCGCGTGTGTGTGTGTGTGTGTGCGTGCATGTGTGTGTGTGTGTTGAGGGAAGGCGAGCTGGTGAAGGGCAGGTGAGCAGGTGCAGGAGGGCGAGGAGAGCTGTACCGCATGGGTGGGCGGTTCAAGAGGCGCTTTCCCTCTCTGCTTGGGGGCGTGTATCACAGCAAGGCGGTGAAACTGTTCTCCACGCAGGTAATGTGGTCACCCCTTTAGAGGGGGGCGGGGGGTCAGGCCTGTGAGCTGCTGAGGCAGTGAGCTCCTCCGCACTCCTCTCTCCCCCCCTTTGCAACCCTTTCTGGTCGTCCACTCAGCAACCTTGCGGTCGCCTTTGTCATTGGTATCCTAGAGGGTCGGGCGCTGGGTACCTTCGAGTTCAACTCTCTCCTTCCCTTCTCCCTATCTCCTCTCCGACCCTCTTCCCCTCAGGTCGCCCGTTCAGCAGCCAGTGCAGTCGCGTTCGCCATTGTCCTCCTAGAGAACTCCGTCTCCCTCACGCGCGCGCACCTCAACCTCTTCCAAGGTCATGCCTATTTCCTCCATCCCTCTTTCGGCCATCCCATTCCTCTCCCCACCCACCCGCATCCCATCAGGTAGCGCGCTCAGCAGCCAGTGCAGTCGCCTTCGCCATCGGCCTCCTAGAGGGCTCTGGCTCTCTCACTCCCGCTCGCCTCCGCGCCTTCCCGGTAATTTCTGAAACCCAGGAAGGCGACACGAAGCTTCGTTTCCACAACCTGTGCGGCGCGTACGTGGCTGTGAAAGAGAATGCACAGGGGCGGCTGGATGAAGGGTGGGAGGATTTATGGGGGGAAATTGCCCAGGATATTAACAAACAGCTTGGGCTAGTCTCTGAATCACCCGAGGCACAAAAGAGAGAGGAGGGGGTGCGAGGGGAGGTTGCAGGAGATGGGAATGAACAGTTGGGGTTGGGGTATGATGAGGGGTTGGTGGGGAATGGAATGGACGGTCAGGATGCGGCGCTGGAGGCCGCTGGTGTTGATCTGACGGCGTATGATGTGAGTGGGCTGTGGCTGCAGTGTAAGCACGAGGCAGGGGTGCTGCTGAGAGGAGGGGGGGGTGATGGGAGAGAAGGAGCGGACGAGGGTGATCACCAGGGCTCGGCCTCCCGCGCGTGTGGCCTGTTCTCGGCGCGCCACCTGGCGGTGCTGGAGTGGATTGATGACGTGGACACGTTCATGCAGAAGGGGTATGGGCGGGAGATTAACTACCACATGGGTCTAAACCTGCTGCAGGAACTAAGCGAGAGAATGGTCAATGCGCGACTTAGGAGGCTGTGGGAGGAAGGGCGCTTGGTGGGGGTGGAAGGGGAGGGGGTAGGGGGAGTTGGGAGAGTTGCGGGAAGTGGGAAGGTGGAGAGGGAAGAGGGGAAGGAGGGGGAAGGGGATGGGAGGGTAGGGAAGAGGGGGAAGAAGGGGAAGAAAGGGAAGAAGGAGAAGGATGGGTGGAGGGATGGGGTGAGGGAGCGGGCTGCTTTGCACTTTGGTCATGCAGAAACAGTCATTCCGTTTGCATGCCTCCTGGGACTGTACAAGCCAGACTCCCCTGACGAGGGTGTCACTAAAGAGGACGAACGTGCACATAAGCAAGCCGACAAGCAGGAACAGCAGCAGCAGCAGCAGCAGAAGGAAGGACCCCTCCGTGACAAGTACGATGTGCTAATGGCGAAGGTGGCCGCTACAATCACGCAGCAGTTCGCCCCGCCGGTGCCTCTGCCGCCCGCCCCTCCATCCCACCGGCGCTGGCAAGCCAGCCAGATTGCGCCCTACGCTGCCAACACTGCTGTCATCCTCTTCAGGTGCGTGCAGTAGGCGGTGAGTTACTAATCACCCACCACCACCCGCCCTGCACCGGTGGTGGCCATCCTGCCAGATCGCACCCTACGCTGCCAACACTGCTGTTGTCCTCTTCAGGTGCGTGCACCATTGTAAACGGGTTTTCCGCGAGCTGTTTTTCCGGTACTGATCTTCGCGTGCTCGCAGCATTCTGCGCGAGTTTCTCTGTTTCCAAAAGTGTCTCAATTATTCGTCGCACATCTAATGAGAGCTATCAGTTGTCCTTTCAGGTGTGGACCTCACGAGTCGCCGGATGCTGCCTCCAGCTCCTGTGCTTCTCATGGTGGCGACGGTGGCGGCGGCGGCAGCAGCGGCAGCACCAGTGGTGTTGGAGGAGAGGGGACCAAGGAGACAACTGCCAACATGGACTTGGACTTGGATGCTGATTCGGAGGCTGCAGAGGCGTTGGCAGATGGCTTCGCAGTGGCAGTGATGCACAACGAGCGCTTTGTGCCGCTGCCGGTGAGTTGCGATGCTGTGCTTTGTGGCTTGCATGGTTGCTTGGGTTGGTTGCGTGGGCTGGGTGGGCCGTTGGCTTGTTGGGCGCCAGGCGGCTTTGCAGTGGCAGTGATGCACAACGAGCGCTTTGTGCCGCTGCCGGTGAGCTGAGCTGCTTGCTTGTGTGGTTGCTGGGCCATTTGCATGTTCGCCATTTGTCTGTTCATTGCCTGCTTTTTCTCATTGCTCACTCGCTCCCGCACCTTGTTCCCACCATCCTCTTCATCTATCCCCATCCTTGTCATCTCTCTCAGTAGATCCCTTACGCTGACTTTGCTTCGTTATCCATTCCCGTGTGCGTTTGCTATCTTGCTTCCTCCTCGCGTCCCTCTGGGCCCCTCTGCGTCCCTCTGTGCCCCTCTGCGTCCCAATGTGGCCTTCTGCGTCCCAATGTGGCCTTCTGCGTCCCTCTGTGCCCCTCTGCGTCCCAATGTGGCCTTCTGCGTCCCTTCTGTGCCCCTCTGCGTCCCAATGTGGCCTTCTGCGTCCCTCTGTGCTCCTCTGCCTCCCTTTGTGCCCCTCTTCCTTCCCCTGTGCCCCTCTGCTTTCCGCTGTGCCCCTCTGCGTCCCTCTGTGCCCCTCTGCCTTCCCCTGTACCCCTCTGCATCCCTCTGCGTCTCTCGTGTGTCCCCCTCAGCTGTGTGGAGGAAGGGTTGTCTGCCCCTTCGCTACATTCCAGGTGCCAAACCCTCCCCCTTACAGGCTCTCTTTGCTTGCTTGCTCTTCCTGCTGTTTCTGACAGCAGGTAACAAAACTCCTTGCTGTTCTGACAGCGCGTTTTTTCATCCACGCACGCACGCACGCACGCACACTTGCGAGGACACATTGACAATGCCGTCCCACACTGTGACACTCTTTGCTTGGCTGTCCTAATCTCTGGTGTGGGTCAGCCAGTGCTCTGTTCTGTACCGATCCCCTTCCCCATCATTTTTCTACCTACTCATTTGCAGAAAGCGGTTCTTGAGGCGTATCTACAGCACACTTACGAGTCTGTCTGTGCCTGGTCGCCTCCATGACATGTATGCTTGCGTATAGATCAGCACGGAATGTATTTGTTTTTACCAGTGTACTCGCGTAAATGTACATGTACATATAGTTGCATTTGATGCCATAGCACAAATTTTGCCATGTAGCGTTGTTTCTCTCCTATAAAATCGCTTGTACATCGTTGTGTAATGCACTGCATGCATGCTCAATCTTCGTGTATGTGGTGTGTGTGCGTGCGTGCGAGCGCGTGACGCGAGGAAGTGACAGCGCTAGTGTCATACTGCTAGGACATGTAGGGTGTCTCATGAACAATTACAGGCTTTAGAAATAGCCGGAAATGAGTGTACACTGTCATCACAAACAAAGTCAGGTCACGACGACACGACCACGCAAATCACCTTGTACTCGACCCGACAATTTTTGCAACGGCATGTTAGAGATGGCTTCACGTAGTCTAGTTACTACAGTACAGTGAAGTTAGGTTTCAAGGGTGTCTTACATACATATTTAGGCGTACATCACACGATTCTAGGCAGTGAAGAACTGTACGAAGTCTAGATACTACAGCTTATGCCCATTTGACACACGCTGCATTTTGGGGCGGCAGTAAACTGAAACAGACAAAAGGATTTCGACAATGTCGTCGAATTCTGCCACGAGAAAAAATGGGACTGTAAGGAGCTAAAAGTTCACAATTCCAAAATAACTGGAAATCTGGGGATGGCATCCCTTGGTGTGTCTGGGCATCTGCGCAATTGTAGATGTATTTTTCTTCTTGTTCGTCAGAATACTCTTCTAGTAGAGGGATAGGTACCGTAACTGTACGATAGGGCACGGGCAAATTCGCGGGATTGACGGAGCGCGGGCAAATTACCCTAGACTGTACAGTAAATTACTGTACGAAGTCTAGATACTACAGTAAGTACTGTAGTACACCTTTTTTCGCGCTACACTGGCAACGGGATTCACTGGCTACAGTGAAACTGTTCCTTGGACATATTCGGAACTGTTACAATAACCGTCTCTAGGGGGTGAGTGATTCGCAATTTCGTTATCCTGGGTACCCTACCGAGCCATATCAAACGTTCAGACGACCGTCTTTGAAAGTAACTAACCACGTCAAACCGTACTGGTGCAAAAGTCCACTACAACGCGTCCTCTGGCGCGTTGAGCCACAGGGCCCATATAGCCAATGACAGTGTAGCGCGAAACAGGGTGTACAAAGTCGGGTTTTATTGTTTGTACACGTGTAGTGTAAGGGCGCGTCATTTTCAATACCCATCCCGACCGATTTGGAAACTAGTTAGATTGTTGTAGAACGCGAGACATCTCACTGAGCCGCATTCAAACGAACGAAAAGGACCCGCCCTAATGCACGCACCCGCTGCGGCTGGTTGTTGGGCGATCAGGGAAAGAGGAAAGGAAGAGGGTGATAAGGATGGACAGGAGGGTTTTCTTCCTCTGTACGTAATTCCCTGCCGCTCTTGTTCCTTCCCCAGTTATCGATCCCATGCTCCTGTATTCAGTCAGCAAAACAATTTCTCTTTTCACACTCGTGCATCCCGTCCCGTGTGTCCTCTCCTCATGATCTCGTCGATTGCTCTGCCTGATTCTCTGCCGCTCGTTGTTCCCTTACGTTCCGTGTGTCTTATCCTCATCTTGTCCCGTCCCGTGTGTCCTCTCCTCATGATCTCGTCCATTGTCTCCGTGTGTAGCAGACGTACTCTTGGAAATCTGAGAGAACTCCGATCATACATCGTCGTGAGGAGTATTTGCGTGTTTCCCGAGGTCCCGCGGTGAGTTTGGGCCCCTCGCAATGTTTGGGACGTAGTATTGGTAGTAGTACTAGCGCCGCTATCTTGCACTAACTTGGTAGTTCAAATCCTTGGTGTTCAGTAGACAGGTTGCGCCGCTACTTGCCGTTGATACGCCTGTAGTAGTAGTTGATCGAAGCCGCGCGTTGCTAGGACTATCACTTCGCATCCTGGACCGCCGCTTGAATTAACCTAGATCAGCTTCGCATTTGCGACTCGCAAAAAAATCCACCGCAACTTTTAACCTGGATTAGCGACCCCTTCGTCACAATTTTTTTTTGAACCGCTGATCAAATTCTGTTAGTCGCGTTCGAAGTGCTCGTCACAACATTTCGCACCGCGGCGGCGAAGTTCTCTTCTCAAGTGTGACCTGCGGCCATGATGCCGCCGCCGCTGCCGCCACCGGCGCGTTCTCGCCGTGTATCGCTACTAGTAGGGCTGTCGACAGCGACGTTGATGCTAGCCCTTTCCACTGTACGCTCCCGCATTCCCAAAATCCGCACGTCGTGGGCATATGTTTACTTTGTTCGATAGCCCTACTACGACCACCTCGGACAACGAGAGTTGTTTTGCGTCGACTTAAAACATGTGTTGACTTTGTACGACAGCCCTAGGACCTCAGGGTAACCTACCCTACTGGAGGGTTACCTCGGGGCAACGAGGGTTAGCTCAAGGTTACCACAGACCCCTTTTTAAAGACGTCTTTTTAAAGTACCTGCCATGTCGCCACCGCGATCTCGCCGTGTGTCGCTACTTGTAGGGCTGTCGACAGCTACGTTGACGCTACTACTTGCCCTGCCCACTACGCTCCCGCATTCCCAAAAAAAATCCAAGTAACTGCCATGTCGCCGCCGCGTTCTCGCTGTGTATCGTTATTAGTAAGGCTGTCGACAGTTACTACGTTGACGGCTACTAGCCCTTCTCGCTCTACGCTCCCGCCTTCTCGAGAGTCCTTCCTCTTAGGAGGCCTCCTCCTAAAATGGGACGACCCAAGGCTGACCACCCGAAATTGGGTTCCCCGAAGTGACTTTTAAGTTACATGAAACTCACCCCAAAGTGACTGGCCGGTCAAGTTCTGCCTCCATGCCGCTTGCTCAGAGCCTGTCGCTCAACGCAACGCGGCAATGCTCTGTTGCGCAATGCTGGTGGCGCAGCACTGTTGCCGCTCGCTCAACGCCCTTTGCTCAACGCTTTTGCTCAACTTCGCAAGCCTGGAGTCGTTAGGCTGTCGCTCAACGCAATCATGCTGTCGCTCAACGCAATCATGCTGTCGCTCAACGCAACCCTGTCAGCAAGCCTAGTAAATGCAGCCTGTCGCACCAACACCTGCTGAGTGATGGAATGGTTGGCACGAGAACCGTTCTGTTAGGTCAATAAACGTCCGGCCCTACTAGTTCCAACGTATCCCGCCTTAGTGTACTATTTTTGCGACAGAGTTGACTGTTACCGCCCCTAAAATCGGAACGGCAACGCTATCGTCTGGTTCCTCCTTCCCCTTCTCCTCTTGCCCACCATAATAGGCATTCAATCGTTCAGGTCCTATTTTCCAACCGCTCCTACTACTGGTAGTGGTACCATCACCAAAGCTATCATAGCTTCTTCCGGCTTCTTCCTTTGCCCACTGCCACTGACCGTCCCCTGACTTTTGTGTGATATGTCAAGTTTTGAGTCGACTAAAAAACTCGAGTTTGCCCACTGCCACCGACCGTCCCCTGACTTTGACATTTGAGTCAACTCAAAAGTCGTCTGCAGCTTCGTCCTTTGCCCACTGCCACCGACCGTCCCCTGACTTTGACATTTGAGTCAACTCAAAAGTCGTCTGCAGCTTCTTCCTTTGCCCACTGCCACCGACCGTCCCCTGACTTTGACATTTGAGTCAACTCAAAAGTCGTCTGCAGCTTCTTCCTTTGCCCACTGCCACCGACCGTCCCCTGACTTTGACATTTGAGTCAACTCAAAAGTCGTCTGCAGCTTCTTCCTTTGCCCACTGCCACGGACCGTCCCCTGACTTTGACATTTGAGTCAACTCAAAAGTCGTCTGCAGCTTCGTCCTTTGCCCACTGCCACCGACCGTCCCCTGACTTTGACATTTGAGTCAACTCAAAAGTCGTCTGCAGCTTCTTCCTTTGCCCACTGCCACCGACCGTCCCCTGACTTTGACATTTGAGTCAACTCAAAAGTCGTCAGCAGCTTCTTCCTTTGCCCACTGCCACCGACCGTCCCCTGACTTTGACATTTGAGTCAACTCAAAAGTCGTCTGCAGCTTCTTCCTTTCCCCACTGCCACCGACCGTCTCCTGACTTTTTTTCATGAAAAGAGTCTCTTCATTCCCCCTACCTTCCCATCTTGTGACACGTGGCTTCTTCCAGGCACGTTTCTCCCCCCCACAGCCAGACCTCAGTCTCTCTCCCTTCTCAACACGCCCTGACTCTCGGACCCCCCTGTCCTCACAGGTGCTCCAATCGCGTCTGACTACAGCGGGGACAGATTCGTCCCCCGCGCACGTGGACTTTGAGTATTCGGACACGCTCTGTGGCACGGCATGGCGGGACGACTACGTCCGCCTGCACTCCGCCATTCGCTCCGCCAGTGCCGCCGCCTACACCCCCCCTCCCTCTCCCCCTCCTCCTCCCTCCTCCCGCCGATTGCTCTCTCTTGCAAACTCACCACCACAGTTACCACCACCAGCAGCAGCAGCAGTCCCAGACCCAAGCCTGTCAGATCAGGCCCTCCCGGCTTCCTCTGTTCGTTTCCTCACGTTTGACGAGCACGGGCACTGCGGCGGCTTCGGGGACTTTCTAGTGGGCGTCGTCTCCTCCTTCGTCGCTGCACTCTTAGACCGCCGGGCGTTTGTGATTCGCCACAACTGCATCCAGTACGCGTTTGAGCCCGCATTCATCGACTGGCGCCCGTCCCCTGATGTTCCCATGGAGCCGGCTCACCGCACG